CTCTCTCTCTCTCTCTCTCTCTCTCTCTCTCTCTCTCTCTCTCTCTCTCTCTCTCTCTCTCTCGCCCTCTCTCTCTTTCTCTTGTTATTTTTTGGCTGATAGAGGAGGCTAAGCTTTTTGCTGCTGCCCGGGCTTGAGCACTAGAATATTATGGAGGAAAACTTGGGCAACGAAGCAAACAAAACAATATTCATAAATAGGACCACGAGTCTGCCTTTAGTGTTCCTGATGTTCCCAACGCAACCACCGAGCCACGGCTTGCTGTCTATCGTGTCACCGAGGGCATGCACGTGTGATCTGGGTGTCGAAACAATAACCACGTTGATTCCAACACAGCACCCCCGAGATCACAACAGACTTTCAAAACGAAATAAATAGATAAGAGTCCACCGTATGTTGATGTGACCCGAACCAACTGCTGCCCGAACGTAGATCTTGAGCGTGACGCCGGGGGGAGCGGCGGACCGGGCCGGTTTGCGATTCGGAGACCTCATCACCGAGTTCGACGGGAAGGCGGTGACCAACACCGCCGAGGTGATTGGCCCACCTGATCTCCAATATGTTTCTTCTGTTGTTTGGTTGATGCATGTAACGTAGTAAGGTAGTTGATAGTTGGTTCGGTGATGGGTGCCTGTGTCGATACGTTGTTCACAACTAGCAGCACGAGTTGGTACAACTGCTGTCAGAGTTGTTGTTGTCGTCGTTGTGGGTGTGGCGAGTTGGTCGTCTCATTTTCGACTCCAAGTGCATGCGTGTGCTTGTGAGGTACCGGTTGGATCAACCTGTTGTCCTCTGGGCATTCGACTTTCGTTGAGGCTTTCCCGGTTGAGCTGAGGCAGATATTTTTTTTTTCGTGTGTTTGACGTTGTTTTTTTGGTCTACATGCAGAATGGGGCGCACACGTTCGCATAGAATCGTGTCATTCCTTTTTTTTTTTCTGTACCTGTTGCTGTTGCTCGATGGTGTCAAAGATGGTTGTGGTTGCGTCCACGGACCTGGTTTACGAACCAGCGACCGCTACAGCAATGATATTTGTGGGTGTGCTCCGCGACCTCCGACCAACACCGGCGTCGGCAACAATTATCTCGTTGTTCCTCCATTTTCTATTTTTCCTGTCTGTCTGTCTTCTCACTTTTGTCTCAGCTACTCCATCAGCCTGTTTCCTCCCGCTTGGTTTGCGACGTCGTGGAATGTTGGCGTTTGTGTTGGACAGTAGTTCTTTCTCCCTCTACCCCCCGCCCTCCGTCTCTCGTATTGTGTTGTGCTGCATGTCACCGGTCAGGTCAGTAGAAGCGGTCGCCACGACCGCTGCTCTCATACATTCGCCGACCACCATCGCGCTACCACGGCCTGCACATCACCCGTGCTGCGTGTCTCTCTCTCCCTCTCCGTCCCTCCTTCTCTCTCTTTGTCTCCCTTTCTCCCTGCAGGATGTTTATCCATGCTTGCCCCCTCACGCAGCCCCTTCATGATTCCAATTCCACCCCATTTATAACGCCTGACCGTCGCCTCATCGTCATCCATCCGCCGTCGTCATCTTCTTCGTCAGGTGCTGCAGCTCATCGGCCAACAGGTCGGGCGGGCGATCCCGATGACCGTCGTAGCGGCGATACCACCGGTGGCGGACCCCGGTCACCCCCCGGAGGAAAGCAAGACGCCGTCGCTACCGCGCCGGGTGACGGTGGTGACGGAGTCGGACCTACCGCGGTCGCCGCCGGCCGCCGCCAACGGTTCGGGCTCCGCCGCCGCCGTTTCGGGTGCTGGTTCCGGTTCAGCGGCCGCCCCTTCTTCGAGTTCTTCTTCTTCCCCGAGCGAGGGGCCTGCCGCTGCACCGCGAACGACGCTGACCGCAGCCTAACAGCAGCGGCGCGACCGCTTTTTTGTTTGGACGGTGTGTGTATCGTGTGTCCACGTTTTCGCTCGCTTCGGTCGAGATAAGCGCTTGGCCGTGGGAGGGAAAGGAGAGTACCGCTGTTCATGCTATGGGTTGGTTGATGTAGCCGTCTAGCGCAACGGGAAGGGTGTGCAGTAGGTTGTGGCCGATGACGCCGCCGTCGTGTGCGGTGTGCCCGCATGTATTGTCCTCGCTGCTCCCATGTCATTTTCCGTGTGCGCTTTGAGGAGAAAAAAGAGAGCGAGTGGCGTCCTTCGACGGGGGGAGGGGGGGGGGG